TCACGAAGAATGTTCAATGATCTACCAGTTAATATTCCTTCATGAGGAACAGAAGAAGTGATAGGACCATTTATGATAAAGAAAAAATGCAGACATTGCTTAGGAAAGTCTTGGACAGAGAAAAATCCCAGGAGCTTTATTCTAAAACCAGTAATTGAATTTTAGTGCATCGTCCATCCATAATTTCCACCAGGGCCTCACGCCCCAACTAAACTAAAAATTACACAACAGTATGTTGGATATGTAAATAAATAAATAAATAAATAAATAAATAAATAAATAAAAAGACTCAAAACCAAGACCTCCCTTTTAAAAAGTATCTCTCTACGGATGGTCTGCCCGCTTTGTAGAATAACCTTTGTCTTTTTCATCATTCTAATTTATTTCTATCATCCTTGTTGCCTAGATTAGAAGTCAAAACACTGATGGGATAGATGAGGCACACAGTTATGTCTTGTTTGGCTCAAGAAAGGTATCAACATTTAACTTAAAATGACTTAGAAATTATAGGATCTTATTTTCTTCATGTTAACAAATGGATAGAACCTAATAGGCCTTCTCACCTTCTACTATAGAGGACTATTCTTACTGCCCTTCAAGGCCCATGACCTATGTTCCAACAGTGTATGCAAATGAAATTAATACTAGCTTCAGTTGTTTGCCTTAGTAAGGTATAATTTAGTTTTTTGGTTTTTTTTTCTATAGAAAAAGGTTCATGTAGGATTAAATGTGTGTGCATGAAATAATTTAATTCTATATAATTCAGATTTTTCCTATTAGGTATATAATTACAATATAGGATTTAACAAAAAGAAAAGGTACAATTAGATTAGAATGTCTTTTCTTTCTTTTTTGTTAAGTACATTTATATTGATTTCAGAGAGGAAGAAAGATGGAGATAGAAACATCAATGATGAGAGAGAACTATCGATCAGCTGCCTCCTGCACCCCTCCCACCGGGGATCAAGCCCTCAACCCAGCCATATGTCCTTGACCAGAATCGAAACCAGGACCCTTCAGTCTGCAGGCTGATGCTCTACCCACCGAGCCAAACTGGCTAGAACTAAAATGTCTTTTCTTAAATGTGCTTTTTTCATTTCTTTAGAAACCAGAGGTTATTTTGCATGATTGAATCTTTTTGCTATTATTAATAACATCGGCATTCTGAAATTTAAAATGAGGGGTCACTAATGTTTAGGGTTCTTTTCCTGTATAAAATGCCCTAGCTTACTGGCTATTTATTTATTTATTTATTTATTTATTTTTTGCCTTCATTCTGCTTTGTGAACTTCTCCTACCCCTTGTTTTATGATCATTCGATTCACTCCAGCAGTCACTTTCCATGAGGGGCCCTATTTATTAACCAAATGAGGAAAGGAAGATCATAAATTAAATATGTGATTAAATGCCAAAAAAATTCTAGGTAGCTTAAGGAGATAAGTTAACAACCTATTTTGCTAATGCTTAGAAACTTTTCTATTTACTTATCACTTTGAAGTTATATATTCAGAAGGTTTGCAGCTGCTGACCTTTTAGAAAATGATTCTTTGGCATAAATGAAGCAGGATGCATCCTTGCACATACAGCGTCAGCAGTAATGAGCAGAGCCAAATTGTTTGCTACTATAAAACTTGTCTTATAGTCACAATAGTAAGATTTTAAAATATATAAAGAATGGACACGATTTTTTTTTTACATAAACATAGGACCAACATTGGCAAATGTATATTGGATAGTATTATTTAAGTCATCCATAAGTTATGAAAAAAATTCTGTTTTCTCATCAATGTGTATACCTTTCATCGAAAACGACTCACAATGACTTGATGACAACTGGGGAAAATAAACAATAGGATGCCAAAGAAATTTAGAATCATGGTTTTAGTGCCGTGTAACATCCTTAAGCAGTCTAGCCAAAAGGACATAATGTCTTTAAAAATATTTTATTTATTTACTAGAGGCCAGATGGGCCAGATGGGCAAGTATACACACAAGTATTTACTAGAGGCCAGAATGGGCAAGTAGACACACAAGTAGACACACAAGTAGATACACAATAAATTAACTAATACTTTGAAGAAGCCCTGGAACGCCCGGACCAATATGGCTCAGTGGTTGAGCATCAACCTATGAACCAGCAAGTCATGGTTCAATTCCCAGTCAGGACACATGTCCCGATTTGTGGGCTGGATCCCAAGTGGGGTGTGTGCAGTGCAGTAGGCAGTCATCAATAATTCTCTCTCATCATCAATGTTCCTATCTCTCTCTTCTTTTCTCTCCAAAGTCAATAAAAAAATATATTTTTTTAAAAGCCCTGGAACCTTTAAAAATGAATGCTTATTATAATAGCAGGATATGATACCCACATGTTTTGTTACTACCATTTAAAATGCTGGAAAAGAGAAATTAAGACATTTTCAGAGCGGGACTAGAATTAATGGTCTTATTGGGAACTTTCTTAGATTGCCTAAAAAATGATAGAAAACAGTTTCATGGATTGTTTCCTCTAGACTTTTAAGATAAGGAAGATTGCACAGTGCATTATACTATCTGGCAGATGTTCATTTAATCACCATATTTTGGAAATTTAATGTAAAAGAAAAATGTAAACCATTTAGTCTCTGAGTTGTTTATTAATACTTTGTGATGACACTCAAATAACTTTGGCAGCATTTTCAGTAGCTAGCAGTCTCTTCAAAATAACCCAATTAAAGAGTACAACATTACTGCACTATATCAAGTCACATTCTTCTAAAACTAAAATATTAATCTTTCACAATATGCCACCAAACAGCAACATCTTTGCAATATACTATAACAATGTATTTGCAGAGTTCTTAAGCTCCTTTGAAAAGTGGGATAATCTACATGACAGGAGATAAAATATCATCAAAACTATAGCTATAATTATCTGGTTGGCAGAATAAGCTCTGTATAGACTCACACATTAAAACACAAATATTTATTTAAACTAAATATTTTAGTCCAACTCAGCTTATATGTTCAAGGGAATTGGTGAACAATATGAAACAGAAGTACAGATTGGCCTTCTGTCTTTTTATTTTTATATCTGGTTTAAAAAAAAAGCAAATTGTTTTCATTGTGGAACACTTAGAAAATACAAACTTATTAACAGAAAAATATTTAACCACAAATAACCCATAATTCTACACGTGAAGTAGAAGATTTTTCTGATATAGTACTTTTGTATATGTTTCCTTTTCTATGGACACACCTAGGATTTATTTCCAATGTATTTAAATGAATCATAATAACTATAATTAACTTAATATGCTTTCATGCTTAATAAAAATTGACTTAACAAAAAAAGAACCTGAATTTTTTGTGATTTTTTAAGTGCTGCCAATACATATTTAAGTTTGTTTAAACAAAAGCCAGCAAAGCTGCAGACATTTTTGGCTTATTTTAAAGGATGTACAAAAGAAAAAAAAAAGTTATGTGTTTCTCTCATTGAAAACAACTCACAATGACTTGATGACAATTCTTCAAAGGAGTAAAAGAAATATTTCTAATGCTGCACAATAAATCCATGATGAAGTGACTATGAAGTGACTAGAATAATGCAGGTATTATGAATATTATAGAAGTTTTCAAAATTTATGTTGGTTTAATTCAATTAAAAACACATATTTTTAATAATTGACAAACTTTTCTTTAAAAATGTATATCTAGCCAAAACCAGTTTGGTTCAGTGGATAGAGTGTCAGTCTACAGACTGAAAGGTCTCAGATTTGATTCCACTCAAGGGCATGTACATTGTTTGTGGGCACATCCCCAGTAGGGGGTGTGCAAGAGGCAGCTGATCCATGTGTCTCTCTCATCAATGTTTCTAATTCTCTATCCCTCTCCCTTCCTCTCTGTAAAAAATCAATAAGATATATATTTTAAAATGTAAATCTAAAAAATGCAATGCTTAAAATAAATATAAAGTACAAATCAAAGAAGAGTAATAGAAGCTCCATTATAGAATCAGTAGACAAAATAAGCCACAAGGCACATTCCCACACTTAGTTTGAAATAGAAACCAGCATTCAATGGATTATTTCACTCCTACCTAATAGAGCAGAATTTATAATAATAAAAGCATAATCATATGCTAATTAGACCAGATGTCCTTCTGGACAACCTTCCAGAGGAAGCTAGGGCTGCGAGGAAAGCCCAGGGTGGGGTGCCTGCCAGCGGCTGGAGGGAAGCCTGGGTCCTGGCTGCCAGAGAGAAGCCGGTGCCAGCAGCTGGGGGAGGGAAGGCCTACCCTTGCATGAATTTCCATGCATTGAGCCTCTAGTCTTTAATATTTGTACATTAACATTTTGAGATGCTAAAAGAGTGTTGTGAAAAAAAAAAAGTGCTAATTATATCTATTTTTGGTTGTGATAAGAAAACATCTTTCCAAAGAACTTAATATGAATTAGGTATCAGTTATTCCATATGGCAGACAACCTGCATGGAGATTCATACTTCTTTGTCTGCCCTAGACTTTCTGTCAGCTTTTACTGTTCCCATGCACTTTCCTTTTCCCATGAACCATTTCTTTATCGCCATGTCTAATAAACCATGAACCCTAATCCTTACCAGATTCCAGCCAATTTAAGTTAGCTGTGTACGACTTACCTTGTGATACACTTCTTTTGGAGGAGTGTAATGTATTTCAGTTAGATTAAATAAAAATCAACTCTATCTAACAACAAAGAAAAATTCCAGCAGTATCTGAATGCATATTTCTGGACTGATCCTAAATCAAATAATTCCTTCACAACAAAAACTACGCAACTATCTAGAATTTCTCATAATATAATCCAAGTAAAGCATTACCAGGAAATGACGATATTTAAACCCTTACAGGGGAAAAGTTAAAAGAGAGTTGTTTGTGAATGTGGGTTGAAGCTTTTATCTAGTACTTCTGCACATAACAAATATAGCATTGAAATGGGAAGAAATCCCTCTTAGATAAGTCACTTGCAAACAGAAAGCTCACTCACCATTCCGACTCTCTTCATCAATAGCAACTATGGTAGCTGGTGGTCCTCCCCTAGCTAGTTTGCAATCTAAAGAGAGAAAACAACCAAAGGTAAGAAGTTATAACTTAGGGGAGCACTCACCCTGAGATCAAATTCACTGAGATGGGTAGTGACAGTTAAAAAGAAAAATCCTACAATCAAACTAATATGGGTCATTACTTTTAACAGCTTTTAATTTAAAATAAAATTATATGAACCACATAGATTACTTTACCACATCATAACATAGTTACTTTGAAGCTATTCAAATCTGACTGGGCAAACACCGGCAGAGACCACAGGAGAGCAAAAGTCTTTCAGGACAGAGATAATGGGATGGTAATATAACCCAAAGAAATAACATAAAGGAATGATCAACAAGGATAAGTTGTAATTAAAGCTTCACGACAGAAACAAACATAATTAGACTTTAATTGTGATAAAGAGTCTAATTAAAGGAAGTGGATAACATTTTAACGATGTTCTAAAGAGAATGAAACAAAGACAGACAAGCAATGCTCATGAGGCTGTTTGGAATTTTAATTTTTGTCATCTTACCCTCATATTGCCAGTCTGGAGTCAAAAGAATAGAGTCATCAAGGGAAGCAGATCAGAAAAAAATGAAAGAAAGAAAGGAAGAGAGAATATATGTATATATTTAGCAAAGATTTACAGATAAACGTAGCATATAATAACAGATACATCACCAAATGGTTTGAGGAAAAAGAAATATGTAAATTCCTTATAACAATTTTGAAATTCTAATATAATATGAACACATTAGCTCAATAAGATATGCCACTTAAAAATTATATAAAGTACATTTATACTTTTTTTAAAGAAAGTAAACACAAATTGCTTATAAAGTATCATTCCACGTTGAACAAACCTTAAGCACACTGTCTATCAATCACAGATGACAAAGTCATTATTTTGAACAATACTAATACCCCGCCAAGGGTCTCATGACAATGAACATGTGAGTAGCATCGTGAGCTATAATATCCATGATAATTGAAATGAGAAGGTGTTGCTTGCAAGATGCCCACCGCACACATCTGAGGCAGAGAGCACTCTCCTAGGCAGTACCAGGAAAGCTGTGCTGTGCAGGTAAATGCACGTGGCGCACTCCGGAGACTGAATCATAAATCAAAATTGCTTAAAGCCATCTGAGTATGTGTGTTTCTTGGGAGATGATTTCAAGGCTTATTACTTATTTATTTGTGAAAATTCTATCCATTATGCCTATGGGCATGAATAATAAAGCCGTTGGCAAGCTCTATATTGTAAAGTACGTGCTCTCTCAAATGGACTTAAAATCGCACAGATCTATGGTTTTTTTCCTCCCTGTCAATATGCAAGGAGTTTCAAGCCACCTCATTTTTAGATCTAAAATATGTCATATCTGGGACCGATTTGGCTCCATGGATAGAGCGTCGGCTTGGGGACTGAAGTGTCCCGGGTTCGATTCCGGTCAAGGGCATGTACCTTGGTTGCGGCCATATCCCCAGTAGGGAGTGTGCAGGAGGCAGCTGATCGATGACTCTCTCTCGTCGATGTTTCTAACTCTCTATCTCTCTCCCTTCCTCTCTGTATAAAATCAATAAAATATATATATATAAAAATATGTCATATCGCTAACACTCTTTTGTCCTCTTCCTCTCTCCCCTCCCCGTATAGCGCAGCTGCTCACTATATGTCATGCTTACTCTTACAATGGTTTCCTCACCTATTTCCCAGAGTCTTTGTTTTTGTCTTGCATTCGTCTGTTCATTGCATGAGAATTATTTTCATGCATCCAAATCAAAGGTAAAATAATGGTACTTCTTGGCCTAAAAGTGTTTACCTGTTTCCCTACACAAAGCTTTTCTGAACTAAATCGTTAATGAAAACATCTCCAAGGATGCTATAGTCTCTGCATCCTTTAGAATTAAGCACTATTCCCTCTTGTTGCATCAGACACCTTATTCTTGCTGGAATGTACCTTGTATTATTTTGGAGGAAGTTTTTTTATTTAAATTAATTTCAGCTTCTACTTCTGCCTATCAAATCTATGCTTCTCTTGGTGAAACTATATTTCACCTGTACCATGAAAACTCACCCAAACTGTAATCAGAATTTATTTTTCCTCCCATGTTTTCATAAAGAAAACCTGATCAGTTCTTACTAGAAGTAATTCTTGAATTACCAAACATCTCTTCCATTCATATTTCAGAGAGAAGTAACTTTTTTGGACTATTCCCTCTTCTTATATATATGGCCACTGCCTTAATTAAGTCTATCATTACTACACAGAGTAGACAAAATTTGCATGTGAGTATTGGTAGAGGTACAGATATATAATCAATAACTTTCAGGGGCAGGAAAAGTAAAGGAAAAGAAAAGAAGGTGGGAGTTGGATATAAATATTTAAACTTTTCCCAGTTGGTTATGATTAAATTTATGGATAGATATTCTTTATATAGCTAATCCAAGTTAAACTCCTGAAAACTTATCCCTGTCTAATTCCCATACCCTTTTCACTCTTATAGTTTACTAGTGGCCCAGTTCACGAAATTTATGCATGGGGTGGGGGGTTGTCCCTCAACCTGGCCTACACCTTCTCCAATCTGGGACCCCTCTGGGGATGTCTGACTGCCAGTTTAGGGCCAATCCCCATGGGACATCCCTCTCACAATCCAGGACTGCTGGCTCTTAACCACTCACCAGCCTGCCTGCCTGATTGCCCCTAACCCCTCTGCCTGCTGGTTTGATCACCTGCCTGCTCCACCAGCCTGCTCACCCCCAACTGCACCCCCTGCTGGCTTGCTCCCTGCCAAATGTCCCCTTGCCAGCGTGCTAATTCCCAACAACCCCCTGCCAACCTAATCACCCCCAAGAGTCCCCCCGCTGGTGTGATTGCCCCCAACCACCCCCCCACACACTGTCCTGCTGGCCTTCAACTGCCCTCCCCTGCCAGCCTGATCGCCCCTAACCACCTCTGCCTCAGCCCCACCACCATGGCTTTGTCCAGAAGGACACCCGGAAGAACTCCCTGTCTAATTAACATATTACATTTTTATTAGTATAGATTGTCTAGCCATAAGCTAAGTTTATGTTTGCTGTGTCATTGCTGAAACTTTCTTCCTCTTCTGATTTTCTTGGTGAACTTCTATTTCTCTTTCAAGAATCTGGCAAGGCATCATCTCTTCTAGAAAAATTGTCCTTCTTTGTATTCTAATGTATTTCCTTGGAAAATAGTGAAACTAGCCGAAAGCGGTTTGGCTCAGTGGATGGAGCATCAGACTGCAAACAGAAGGGTCCCAGTTCAATTCCAGTCAAGGGCATGTACCTTGGTTGCGGGCACATCCCCGGTAGGGGGTGTGCAGGAGGCAGCTGATCAATGTCTCTCTCTCATCGATGTGCCTAACTATCTATCCCTCTCCCTTCCTCTCTGTAAAAAATCAATAAAATATATTTTTAAAAATAGTGAATCTATCTCAGAACTCCCATCGATCAACCCTGTGTCACATTCATATTAGTAATCTCAGTACCTAGCAAGAAGTTGGTCCTGAAAGGTTTGTTCAAGACTTTCTGAGATGCATTCTGCCCCACTACAAACTCCGATGAACATCCTTCCCTGAGAGCTGTTTTCATTATGTATTCACCAGATAATAAAGCAGCCCAAGAGCAAAGACTCATTTCCTTTTGATCAGACCCTTTTCAAATGACTCCTACCAAGCTTTATTGACCCATTAGGCTCCACATTTCCCCAGTAATATGTTTTTATGTACAAAAATTACTTCATCTATTCTGTATCAAACCAAATATAGTTAAGTTTTAAAACACACAATATAATGAAGAGAGATTAGTCAGATACATAAAATGAATATATTAATAACATCTTTCACAAGAGCTAGAGTGTTTGTTTTGAAATAATGCATTCATGAAAGTATAATTAGTTTTGACATGTACAAAAAATGTTAATAACCAGTATATTCAGACTTGTCTTAATAAAAGTAAATATGGGGTGGAATGGCCAGGGACTATTATGTATGCAAAATATCCAAATAGAGATCAAAGTGAAGATTAAAAGGCAATTTTGGACCTGGTGATCCTGTTCTCTATGGACTATGGGTAATCTGTCACAGGAAAAAACAAACAAACATGTTACCTGATGGCACCTGTACCTTGGAAACTGACTTTCTTAATCTATTTAATTTCACCCTTGACTGATTTGGTTCAATCACAAATTCATTGTCTTCATGTCTCAAATTTCTAACTCCTCAGGTCCCTACCTGATCCCCACATCCAATTTGTTTTAAAGTGCAAGATATGATTACAAATTTCTGAATGTTCAGTGTGAGTTATTTCTTCAATTTGTCATCAGCTAAAAATAAGCCATACATTTTTAAATAATCTCATGCAACAGGTCAAAGTGAAAACTAAAAAGAAATATTAGAGAGATGTATCTTCTTGTAGTTCACTAAATTTATTTGAGGATTATTAAAAACTAGAGGCCCGGTGCATGACATTCATGCACTGGGAGGTGGGGGGAAGGTCCCTCAGCCTGTCCTGTACCCTCTCACAGTCCAAGACCCTTTGAGGGATGTCCCACTGCTACAGAGGAAGGAGAGTTCATACCACCACCACTGCGCTTGCCTGGCTTTCTGCCTTGAGTGTCTGCCCCCTCGTGGACAGTGCACGTCATAACATCATAGCAAATGGTTGATCTGCTGTCCGGTCATTCTGCTGTTTAGTCAATTTGCATATTAAGGTTTCATTATACAGGATTCTTTGTCAGAAGTTTATAGATCTTCATTTCTTCAGGGTAAGCCATTGGAGTTTTACTTGTTTCCTTTGGTGGTGTCATGTTTCATTGCTTCTTTGTGATCCTTGTGGCCTTAAATGAGGAAGAACTTCTTCAAGCCTTTACATATGAGCTTTGACAGGAAAGTCCTTTATCAGTTAGCCCATCTAGCAATTCTGGTTGAACTGTCTTGTGGCACCTATTTACAGGTTTTTTGTTGAATTCCTTGATTAGGAAGGCCTGGTAACCGGGTCAGCAG